TAGGGGGTAATTTGTTATGAAATATAAACCTCAGGGGGCAAATTGTTATGAAAATACAAATCTCAGGGGGGCGGGATGTAATTTCTGAAACCTCAGGGGTATCTGTAATTTAGCCAAACCTCGAGGGGTGTATATGTAATTTGTCCAAAAAGTTATAACAAAACTCCATTACAATGATTCGTACAAATTTCATGTGATTGAACTAAAATATTACATTAATTCAATTCAAAACAGAACACTAACCAAAATTACACACAATTGCCACAAAAAAATAAATAAATAAATAAATAAAAATTAGTAGACTATCCTCTAACTTTTCTTTTGTACTAAGCAGATTTTTGGATAAATTATAAATACATTCCTACAATTTGATTAAAATACAAATCATCTTATGTGGTTCTGAAAATTACATTTCACCCCTTAAAGTTTCTAATTTTATAACAAAGCGTCCATTTTGTTAATAAATTATCAAATTAATTAACAATTTTTAATAATATTATAAATATATTTTAATTGATAATTTAAGTAATTTTATTATCATATAAGAAAGCAATAATGAATTTTATTTTTTTAGTTATTATGTTAAATAAAAAATTTTGACAAAGGAGTATTTATAATTTTTCAAATCACATGAGACAATCTGTATTTTAAACAAATTTCAGAGGATGTATTTGTAACTTATCCTAGATTTTTTTAATTTCTCAAAAAATTTTGGAAAAAATTCTCTACAAATAAGTTTTCAAAAGTAGTCAAACCAAACAAATTTTTTCAAATTTTTTTTCCAAAACTTGTTTGGTTTACAAGTTTTTCAAACAAATCTCTCACTTATACACATCAAATCAATCACTTTTTCCAAAATTTTCCCTCAAAATAATTTTTCAAAACATCTTTTGAAAAAAAACTAAACCAAATAAATTTTCGTACTTTTTATCTCAAAACATGTTTCTCAAATACAAACTAAACAAGCCCATGAAACTCACAAATTATGCATAAATCATAGATATGAGAGTTAAGTTTACTCATATTATGTTATGAATAATGCTACATATAAAGAAAAAAAAAAATTATATGAAAGTGTATAGAAACATCAATGTGACACATAAAATGTATTTGGGCTAACACATTGATTTTTTTTCCCGCATTTCTATGCGTACGCAATTTTATTATTATGTTATTTTAATGTCTTCCTTTCAAATGTCAAAATTTTATTACACAAAATTCATAAATAGAATAGTATTTTTGTTATATTTTCCATAAAAAACTAGAACACTCAAAATTGTCGCTTAGAATTTCAAGAATACCATTACTATCACGACCTCATTCCGCCTTTAGTAGAATGGTGTCGTGATGGCCAATAATTCGAGATTACCAAAGGCCAACTTATAAAGATTCACACACAATCAGAGTATACATATAGGGCTTACATGTGCGGAGGCAATAAATTTAAATCTAAGTAGTTCATAAGAGCTATGCATAGATCAAATGAAATGACATACATCTTAACATAATTTTACAACTTGGATACAAATAAAATAAAGTACATATTACATCTTGATCAAAAGGCTTCTCAAGCCGACATATACAAAAGAAGTGAATTAAAACTAAGAAACATAATCTTTAAGATGATACAAAACATGAATCAAAACATCTTGCACATAACATCTTAGGCGTCACCGCCTTCTTGCTCGCCACCTACATATATATAAAGGGGATGGCGAGCTTGGATACTCAGTGAATGATATAATTAATAAAGGTTTGAATGAATGATATCCAAGATCTTTATCAAAATAATACATATCATAGCTTGTAACAAAACATGGGATGAATCGAGTTCATCAATCAAATCTTTCAAATCTTCTTGAGATGTTTAATAGCATCTACATAATACATGGGGGATGTCATTCCGAACAAAATAAGAGAATAATCGACCCGAAATCAATTAGATAAATTCACCTGCACAAGGCCGTCGGTGGGGCCATCCGTACAAGACCGTCAATGGCAGAGATCTCTCAAACATGGTGCTACATGGGCTTATAGTCCCCTAGCATGAAAGGAATTTCCAAGAATGTCATCAAAACAAGATAATATTTGATACAAAACTAGGGATAATCATTCATATTTGAACAAATACTTTTCCAAAACAAAGCAAAGCTTTATCAAAACTTTATAACATACCTTTATTAAAAATACCACTCATATACCTCTTGGGGTGTAGGGATTAAGAAAGGATCCAAGACCTACAAATACATAATAAAGTCTATTGAATGCATTTCAAGAAGACAAGAAGAGATGCTCAAAGATGGATATGAAATTTATTCTTAATAACAAACTTTACATGAATGAAAATGATTCCGGCATTTCTTTCCAAAACCAAGTCAAGACAAAGCAAAACATGCTGGGAGTTAAATCATTGTTTTTCTTCTAGGGAAAACATGCTGGGTGTAAAAACACTGTTTTTCATCTAGGAAAAACATGTTGGGCACTAACCAGGTCTTGGAATAGATGCACAGAAATGATCTAGGAAAAAATGACCTAGTTGGGTGAACTCAGGAGGTCTTGGCCGAGGTCCCACACCTCTTGGCCGAGGTGTGGTTACCTAGGTTTCGGCGTGCAGCTGCCTGCCGAGGTGTTACAAGGTGTCGGTAAGGGTGTACCATGGTCGGCCTAGGTGTGCAATGGTTAGCCTAAGTGTGCATGCAAGATAGACTAAGGTGCAAGTGATTATGCAAGGTAAGCCAAGGTGAGATATGATGCTTGGCCTAGGTGTGAGATCTAGGCAAGAGTGGTCTCGGTGACCACACCTAGGGAAAGGTGAAGTCTGAAAATCTAGGTTTCCTCCTTGAAGGACATGAAGAACATGAAGGACAAGAACATGAACAACATGAATGCTAAAATCATAACTTCTTTATTCAAAGCCTGAGATTTCATGAGATGAGTTTGAAAACATGGACCTGGGTACCCATACTTGAAGATCTTATGAAAACAAACACAAAAACATAGATCTTGATACAAGCTTTCGAATCAAAACATGATTTTTCTTCAAGAACACATGAATATCACTTTCTCTTTCTAAAACAAACTTTAAATCAATGCATGGCTCATGAATCATGCTAGATCATGCAATGTGATCGGATGAACATAAAGAATAACAAGAGTAGATCAAGAATCTAACTTCAAAACATGAATCTAACAGTTCAAGGTGTGAAGATCAAGCTTGGAATCTAGCTCTCTCCCTCTAAGAACTTCTTCCTCTTTCCTAGAGTTTCTCTCTCTTCAAAGGCAAAGATATGACAAATGATATGTTTTCTCTCTCTGTTGGCTGACTTAACCCTCTGTTGGGACACATGGCACCATCGGATTGGGTTTCCTCAAAAAGGTGACTGAATGACAAGACAAGAGCATGACAAAGGGTGTACAACAAGCAAGGTGACATGGGTACTCCGGCAAGTAATGATCTCGGATTATAACATAGGCTTCGGCAAGTAAGGTCTCAATGATCTCGGCTAGGAAGGATAACACTTGACCTACCTATGCCACACCTCAACCTAGATGTGCCACACCTCAGTCTAGGTCATACCAATCCAGAAACAAGATCACTAGGTGCAAGGATCAAAGATCTAGGACGCCTAGATGATAACATCTCGATCTAGATGATACACATCTCCACCAATATGTCAGGGTGAAGGTGGAGGTCAACCAAAGTGGTTCCAAGATGGCCCTAGGTGTTGACATGACCTAGGCTTAACATGACCTAGGCTTGAGATAGCAAGGAAGGAACAAAGCAAGCATACAACACTTAGACAAATCACATAAGTACAAAACAAGAAAGGGACCTTTACCTAAGCAAAACAAGTTTAAGTCTACAAATGCAAGCTTAACAAAACAAAATCATGCAAATGCACATGAACATGACTAAAACAAGAATGTGAGTAATTACAATTACTACATTCTAATTGTTTTTATAAATGAAAATTATGTTTACAAATCATTTTTTCTAAAGTAATTATATACATAATTTTTCTATAAAATATAATGTGACTCAATGTAAACTTTTATTTCCTCATTTTTATATTTCTCTCCGGTTAATTGTTTAGAACAATATATAAATCTTTCACATCAAAACAAAAAATTTATAAAACTGACTTTTATATACAAAGCCTCCGTTTGGGAAGTGGGTTGGCTTTTTGGCTTTTTGACTTTTTTGGCTATTTTAGCCTGGGCTTAAAAGCTTGGTTTGGGAAGGACTTTTTGACTTTTTGACTTTTTTGAGTTTTTTTGTGAGAGAAGAATGTAATTGATTATGGGTTGGAATATCTGTAATTTAACCAAACCTGGAGGGGTGTATATGTAATTTGCCCTTTTTTTTTTTGGTGACCATAAAGTTTCCAAACTGACATGCGTGTCATATTATGTAATGAATAAAATATGATAGAAGGAAAATGAATAAAATATTACATAAAATATGATAGAAGGAAAATGAATAAAATATGATAAAAAGATGATAAATGAAGTATATCATTATTTTATTTTTTAAAAAAAAATATTATACGTATAAACTTCATTTATGAACATTTCTTACAACCATAGGATAATAAAGAACTGATATTTGAAATGCACATATTAAAATTAAATAAAAAGCAGTCTAATTGTCACATCAATTTATAAATTAATTTTAAAAATAAAAAAACATAAGCCAAATTACATGAAATTTGTATAATTTGTCTCTTATGTAATAATAAAAAAAAATTGGTATATTCATTATTCTCAAAGTAATTAAGAAATTAACGTTTAATTTGAAATAATTTATTATCTTTTAAATTAAATATTTGAATTGATTTTAATAAATAAATTAAATTAACACAATGTAAAAAAAAATAAAAAATGTGAAAAAATTATAAAATTAATGATTCTTTTCTTTAATAATTTTCAAAGAATTATACGATTGATTGGTGATCTGTCAAACGTTGGCGCAAGGCATTCCAAAAATTTGACTTATATTAGCCGATAGAAACCTCTCAATCAAGTGCGGTGCCACTCACACTGTCCACAATCAACGCCTCTCCCTCTCTCTTTTCTCCTCTTTTTCTTTTTCTTTTCTTCTCTCTCTCTCTCTCTCCCCGTCTCTTTCTTCGGATTTTAATGCTAAAATGTTGCTTCCCATTTTCGGCCATTCACAATCTGAATTCGAAGCCATAAAGAAACCCAAAACTCTGGAACTCAAACCCACATTAAACTCTGCCCTATCCAACATTTCCCTACGCCACCGCACATTCTTCTTCCTCGTCATCCTCTTCCAAGTCTTCCTCGTTCTCTACATCACCGGAGCTCCTCATGTTTATCTCTCTACCCATCAATTCTCGCCGGTCTTTCACGCCGGCGATTGCGAGTCCCGTAAAATCTACGTATACGACCTCCCGCCAATGTTTAATTCAGATCTCAAGAACAATTGCAATAGCTTAGATCCGTGGCATTCGAAATGTGACGCGAATTTGAATGATGGGTTGGGTCCGCAAGCCACCCAGCTCGCCGGAATCGTACCGGAGAGTATTCTTCCGGCGTGGTATTGGACCGACCATTATTGGGGAGAGGTTGTGTTTCATAATCGGATGCTGAACTATAAATGTCGGACTCTGGAGCCTGAATCAGCTACGGCGTTCTATATTCCTTTCTACGTGGGACTCGCGGTGGGGAACTATCTGTGGGGGAATCATACGGCGAAAGATAGGGATAGGCATAGTGAGTTGATGTTGAAGTGGGTCCAGGAACAAAAATGGTGGAAGAGATCAAACGGGTCTGATCACATCATCATGCTAGGGAGGTTGACTTGGGATTTCCGGCGTTGGATCGACCCCAAATCGAACGGTGATTGGGGGTCCAGCTTACTCCACATGCCGGCAATGAAGAATGTAATTCATCTCTCCGTCGAGAAAAGCATTTGGGACCACCTAGAAGTCGCTGTACCTTACCCCACCATATTCCACCCCCGGTCCGACTCCGACGTCATCGAATGGCAAAGCTTCGTCCGGACCCGAACCCGGTCCAGCCTCTTCTCATTCGTCGGCGGCGCTCGCCAATCCATCAAGCACGATTTCCGAGGCCTTTTACAGACCCAGTGCCGCCGCGCCTCCCCCGTTTGTCGCCACGTGGACTGCGCTCGGGAAAACTGTCTCGACGGCACGACGGCGATCATGGAAGCGTTCCTCGACTCCGACTTCTGTCTCCAGCCGAGAGGCGATGGCTACACTCGGAGGTCGGTTTTCGACTGCATGATGGCCGGTTCGATCCCGGTTTTTTTCTGGCGGAGGACCGCTTATATACAGTACGAATGGTTCGTCCCTCCCGAGCCGGAGAACTATTCGGTGTTCATACCTCGGAAAGATGTGAGGAACGGAACGTCGATAAGAGGTGTGCTTGAGAAGTATAGCAGAGAGGAGGTGAAGAGGATGAGAGAGAAAGTGATAGAATATATACCCAACTTCGTGTACGCAAAGCCGAGTCAGGGGTTGGAGAAAACGAGAGATGCTTTCGATATCGCCATTGATGGGGTGTTGAGCAAGTTCAAGGATCACATCAACAGAGGGAGGCTTGGGAATGGGAAAGAAAGACAAACCATGTAAACAATTCTTGCCAATAAAGAAACACACTCTTTTTTTTTTTATAACTTTATTTGTCGTAGATTAATTTATGTGTTGTATATACTTTTCCATTCTCTAATTTATGTGTTGTATTTTATTAATTGAATATTTTCACTTTTGACTAGGGTTACTGATAAAACTTTGAATAAAAAAAGCATTCTTTTCTTATTGGCATCTACTTTGGTCGAGTTTAAGATAGGATTGGATCGTGTTGTTAAATTTGTGGGGGCTCATCATGAGTTCCGTTTTGATAATCTGAACCATTCAATGTGTAGAACTTATCGAGTACTATATGTCTGTAAAAAATCATGTTGATCGGATATCAATAGCTATGTGAACAAAACAGTTTTTTTATCAATAGTTAATTGTTTCACCGTTCATTTTTTTGTACAAAACTGATTTAATCACATAGCTATTGATATCCGATCAACGTGATTTTTTACAGCATATAGTACTCGACGAGTTCTACACATTGAACGGTTCGGATTATCAAAACGGACCCAAAAAATGAATTCCATAAACTGAACTAAACGAGTTCAATTTTGATCCCAACTTGAAACAAGCTGTTATTCTTGTTGAAACATTTTTTATTATTATTCTATATGCCAATTAGTGTGAAGAGATTGTGCTCGAATCTTGATTATGGCACATGAGAAGTGCATGCTGGTGGAATGAAACTGTCAAAATCATGAAAATAAAAATTCAAAAATAAAGTTACATGGAATTAATACACGGATGGAGCATTGACTTCAAAACGTGTTGACCTGTATTTGGTTTAACACCAAAATCAACTTCCAAACGAACGTGCTAATAGGAGTTATGCAAAGAGAATTGTTTGGAGAAGTATTTTTTTTTTAATTATGAACTCCATTGCAATAGTGATACAAAAGATTACAAGGAGTTAGTGAGATATTTTTAAATTGAAAGCATTTATCTTTACAATCAAATAATGGTTGAGATTCACTTCTAAAATATAATGAATAATGAGAGAAATTTTTTTTAATGGGTTTGATAATTGAGATTCACGTGTCAATAGGTTCGATGACATATTTGATGAAAGAACAAAAAAAAAAACGTGGCGAGATCAAGTGTCATTGTGCAAATAAATCTCATTACGCGAATACCTTTGATTTTAATTTTTTTTTGGTTTTTTTGGTTTTGAATGTTTTAAATTGACTTTTTTTTAAACTAAAATAAAATAATGAACGTTTTGATTTAAAATAAAAGACTTGAAAATAGACTAAATTGTACAATTTCCATGTTGTGGGCCTATTTCAAGCTCACTTTCAAAATCTAAACCATTCATTATGCAAAGTCTTTCATAAAGATTAACAACTTAAAAAATAAAATTAATCGGATATCGATATCTATATAATTGGATCACAACAAAAAATAGATGAAAATAATGGTTTTAAAAATAAACTATCTATATTTTTTGAATGGTTTTGTAATCTGATCATATCAATATCAATATTTGGTCAACTTGATTTTTGCATTAATAATCTTTTTCACGAACCATACATGATGAATAGTTCAGATTATTGAAATAGGTCAGCAAAATGCAACTTATACAATACAATTTGTACGGGGAGCAGATATCCCGGCAAGCCCGTACTCCTTTCTTCCGAGCACCGCTACTGTCCGATCACCTACGAGCAAATAACGGTGAGCTACCCGGCGGTGTGTGGCCGGAGACCCCTCCGACGATCAAGTTAGAACACATACACAGGGGATAGATAGAGAGAAGGGTGAGTGTTGAGTGTTTTGTGTCTGTCTCACCAAATTTTTTCCATCCTCTCGCATGGGGGGCGCAAATTCGCTTATATACCTTCTGCGCCCCAAATCTACTCCCATTCGTATCTCGACACGTGGTGCTGCTATCCCATCTGTCAGCACAAAATCTTGCTGGGCACCACCTAACCCAACTGCCCTCCCATTCTCCTGGGAGCTCGGCAGTCGGTCAGTACCATCTCGGCCATCGTCTGCCATGCTGCGCTTCTTGCCCAAGTATTCCAACAGCTAAGCTCAGATGGGGACCGGACTCGGCGGCATCTCGGCATAGCCGAGCTTGGGACAACTCACGCTTGTCCGCGATCAACCAACTTGCCGAGCAAACAGGTACCCCGGCGTCACAACCACGGATCCGCACAGCTTGTTCAATCCATGCGCTGCCTTAACCGAGCAGCTTCCTCCAAGGTCGGGCAATACAGCTCGGCCCCACACCCGTTCGGCCCAAATCTACACGGCGCAACTCAGTCTGACCCAAATCTGTCCGGCCCCTACCACGGCCCAATCCAAATCATAAATCTCCCTCTCACAATTCATTTTTATAAACAAGAGCAAACTCTTGCCTAAATTGAAAATATCACAATAAGCTACATCATTCTATATAAATATTGTGTATAAAAATTTTATTGTATATCATTAATCTCAAAATATAGTTAGTTAGTACACACTAATTATTTCTACAAAATATTTTATACAAGTAGGAATATAGAAAAAAGAAGAAAAAAGAAAAAAAAAAAGGTATACAATGCTACTTGTTAGACTCAGTAATTTGTATAAGAGATGATTGACTAATGATTATCGATTAAAAAAATAAATAAAATCAGATCAACATCAAAGCTAAAAAAATGTACAATAATTCTAATATCACATAATTTCTAGCTTACTATATATTGATCATCTATAAAATAAAATAAAATAAAAAATAAAAAATCTTAAATGTTATATTGATATAATAATCATACTCGCATAATTTCAATCTTATTTTTATGTATGAAGTACACACATTATTAGATCAACATCAAAGCTTTAGAACTTGATTGTGAAGTCCAACTATAAATAAGAGAAAATCTAGTTCCAGATTGTGAAGTCCAACTATAAATAGAAGAAAATCTAGTTCCGTTAAAAATAGTCAATTCAAATGATGAAGAAGAAGTCCAATTTAATGGAGATGCATACTGTGGGGATATATTTTCTGAATACCAACACGTGGCATGGTGACGCCGATGTGTCAGTCGAGGTGCCACGTGTCGTGGTAGTTAGGCCGAGGTGATCTCGGAGTTGCCGAGGTTATCTCCGAAGATATCGGAATCCGAGATAAGCGGATAAGGGACAAGAGTCCTAAAATGGAGAGGGAACTCAACTTGGATATGGACAAGAGTCCTAGATTGGGAGAAGACTTCAGTTTGGGTAAAGATAAGACTCTTAGAGAGTTTATCCTAATCCCACTGGGAGTCCCAGATTAGCAGTAATCCTAAGTCCATTAGGGCCAGGCTCCTATTGGGACTAGGATTGTATTGGCTATAAAAGAGAGGCACCCCCATGGGTCTAAGGTATGCTTTTTGATACTCAAGCTTGTGAGTTTAGTACTTGATTTATCTTTGAGAGATATACTGACTTGATCGTCGGAGTGCCCCCGGGTGGTCGAAACCACCGCGGGATTCTTATATTTCTGTTGCAGGTCAGTCAGGTGCCATCTATTCTGCCAGTGCTCTCCAGCTGGTTACTAAGCGGGCAGTGTGGTCGGAAAATCACCCACACAGATTGCAACCAAGGAATGTTAATACTTGTTGAAATTTTTGAGCAAATTACAAAATGAGTTAACGGAAGATTATGAAGTCTACCACTTGTTGAAATTTGTAGCAATTTACAAG